ACTCCCCACGTCTGAACATGGGTGGAAAGCCCATTGAGCTTGTCAGGGAGGTCAAAATCCTGGGCTTGACAGTTGACGATAGACTCACCTTTAAGACGCACGTCGCAAATGTCTGCATCAAAGCGCAAGGCATCTATCGTCAACTGTCGAGAGCTGCCAGAGTTTCCTGGGGGCTGAACCCAGAGGTCATCAGGGCCATATACGTGGCCGTGGACGAATGGTCGCTGTGACGTTTGTTGCGGACGTGTTGTAGGCGTTAATGACGTCATCGCTTCTGTTAGATGCCGTAGAAAATCTGCGTCGTCATATTTCGGCTGAGTAGGCACGAAGAAATCGGACGGTATCCTCAAATTTGTACCATAGGTCATAAGCGCTGGGCTGAAATTGTTGTCGTCTCGTATAGCGCTGCGTAGCCCCAACAGAACTGTAGGTAAGTCTTCGCTCCAGGTTATAGACGCGCCACGAGCCATGAGCGCGGTTTTCATAGTTCTATGCCATCTCTCTATTTGACCGTTGGATTGAGGATGGAATGCAGTGGTTCTAATTCTGTTTATTCCAAACTTTTTTAATAATGTGTTGAACAATGATGATTCGAACTGGCGGCCTTGATCGGTTGATATTCTCAACGGACAACCGAAGCGTGCTATCCACTGTTCGTAAAGCGCTTTACAGACTGTTTCTGCGGTTATGTCTTGCACGGGAATCGCTTCGGGCCATTTTGTGCATCTATCGATAATAGTGATGCAGTATCGATAACCGTTGGATGGTTGTAGGGGGCCGACTATGTCTATGTGTATATGTTCGAAGCGTTGCGATGGCGGAAATGCAGATAGCGGCGTTACGACGTGGCGATGTACTTTAGCGCGCTGACATTCTGTGCAGGCTTTCGTCCAACCTGCCACTTCTTTACTCATTGCTGGCCAGAAGAATTTAGTGATCATCTGCTTTCTTGTCGTTCTTACACCTGGATGGCACAGTTCGTGTTGCGCTTTGAAAGCGGCGTAACGATATGCCTAGGGTAAAAATGGGCGGGGCGTTGTTGTGGACAGCTCACACGTGATCGGACGGCTCATTCCAGGTAGGGTTAGATCGGCGAATTTTAAGTTCGGTTGTACTTTTAACTTTTTTAGTTCTTCGTCGTTGCTTTGGTCGATAGACAATTGAGCGAAGTCGATTGCAGTTGGGCATTGTATTTCCTCTATGCGTGACAATGCGTCGGCGACTGGGTTCTCTTCGCCTTTTAGATACTCGATTTTTGAGCAGAATTGGCTGATGTAGTTGAGTTGACGTTCACGGCGCGGGCTGTCGCTGTTACTCGCTGTCTTTGTCAGTGCATACGTAAGAGGCTTGTGATCGGTGTAGATGGTGACTTCGGAGCCTTCTATTAATCGACGAAAATGTTTTACAGCTGAGTAGATCGCTAATAGCTCGCGATCGTACACGCTGTAGCGGCGTTGAGTAGCACTCATAGTTTTCGAAAAGAATGCCAGTGGTTTCCAAACTTCTGAGTCTTTTTGTTGCAGTACGGCGCCTAGACTATGATCTGAGGCGTCGGTCATGATGACAAGTTTGTTTCCGACAGATGGGTACGCTAGTGTTGTGGCTTCTGAGATGCTTTGGCGGCATTTTTCAAAAGCGTTTTCGGCTTCAGGCGTCCATTCGATTGGCGTCTTGTCGTTTTTTTTCTTGTTATGTAAATACTTGTTAAGTTCGTGTTGTAAGTCGGCTTGGTGAAGTAGGCAATCACGGTAGAAATTTAGCATGCCTAAGAAACGTCGTAGCTCGATGATGGTTTTCGGCTTGGGGTATGTAGATATGGCGTCTGTACGTTCTTGAGGAGGTCTTATTCCCTCTGCTGTAACTTCGTAGCCCAGGAAGTCGATCGTATTCTTTCCAAACTCGCACTTGTCTACGTTGATCGAGACACCGTATTTCTCGAGGCGTTGTAATATTTCGTGAAGTAGCTTTTTATGCGATTCTTCACATTTTGAAAAGAGCAGGATGTCGTCTATGTAGCAAAAGCATCCGCTAATACCCCGTAGGACTCAATGCATGAATCTTTGGTAAGATTGGCTTCCATTTTTGAGACCAAATGTCATGCAGTTGAATTCGAATAGGCCGAAAGGTGTGATTACGGCGGTCTTCTTTGCGTCTTCTTTATTTATGGGTATCCAGTAATATGCAGTCTTGATATCGATTTTGGAGAATAATTTCATGTCTTTCAGCTGATACGTGAAGTCTTGAATGCGAGGTATAGGGTACCGGTCCGGTTGTGTAACCGCGTTAAGGCGTCTGTAATCTCCGCAAATTCGTATTCCTCCATCTTTTTTCTTAACAACATGGAGCGGGCTCGCCCAAGGACTCTTCGATGGCTGGCATATACCCATCTCCATCATGCGCTCGAATTCTTCTTTGGCCGCTTTGTATTTGTCGGGCGGCAAGGGGCGCGCGCGTGCAAACAACGGTGGGCCGGTTGTTTCGATGTAATGAACTACGTTGTGTTTCGGTGGCTGCTTCAGTGACATGGGCCGAAGTACGTTAGGATAAGTCTTCAATATGCCATGGTAATCTTGACTGGAATTGATAAGGTGGATGGCTTCGAAAGGTGTAGAAATCTCGATGGCATTTATCGATAGTTCTGTCACTATATCGACTAACTTCTTCTTATGCAGGTCCACAAGCAGTTGAAAATGGCGAAGAAAGTCAGCTCCTAATATTGAAGTCTTCACATCTGCAATGATGAAGGTCCACGTGAAGCTTCGACGAAGGCCAAGATTTAGCCTAATCGTTTTCTCACCATACGTTTTTATGGGCGTATTATTTGCGGCAAAAAGTTGGAAGGCGCTATCTCGGCTGTTTTTTCTTGTCTTATTTGTCGCTGCCAGTACGGAAATGTCGGCGCCTGTGTCCACGAGGAAACGTTCCCGAGTGTCGCGATCGTGTACACATAGGCGATTGCTTGTTTGGGAGACATCGACGCTCGCCACAGTCGATGTCGACGTTAGTTTTCCGACTTCTTACATCGGCGACAGCACGGTGACTCGCAACGTTTCGCTTTGTCGCCAAACCGGAAATGGTATTTGCATTCCCATGTAGGATCCCCAGGCTTCACTGATGAACTGCGTCGCGTATTGGACTGCGAACGTGAGCGTGAGCGCCAGCGAGAGGGACGGCGCTGATAATTATGCTGCGGACGGGAGCGTATTTCGGCAATTTCAAGCGTAAGTTTTTCGATTTGCTTCGTTAAGAATTCGAATCTTGTAGTAGTTTCGTCTTCGGTAGATTTTGAGACGACGGCGACGGAAGCGTTATGTGTTGGCGCGGAGTATTCGGCCATCTGGTCGGCCATTGCGGCAAGCACGTCGAGCGATGATTCAGTATTGATCGAGAGAACTACGCGTATTTGTGTGGGTAGTTGATTAAGCCACTCGATTTTGAGGCCGTCATCTGTTATCATCCCACCTCCGAGTTCACGCATTCTTCGCAATAGTTGAGAGGGCTTCTGGTCGCCGAGCTCTAAACCGCTGATAAGTTGTTGAAAATTCTTCACTTCGGATTTATCGTACACGGCGTGTAGGCGGTTTTTTATGGCTTGATATTTTTTTGCCTCCGGCGGATTGTACAGAATATCCGTGAGATGTCGCAGGTCCGTTGCTTGGAGTTGTTGCAGAACGAAGCGAAATTTTTGGTCATCCGATGTTTTTAGCGGCTCCACCACGGCTTCGAATTGAATGAACCATGCCCGAGGAATTTCCCGCCAAAATGGTAGTAATTTCGACTGGATGGAGACTCCTGCCAGGTCTAAGCTTGGTGACGATGCTTGTTGGCTTGTATCTTGATTCGAACAGCTTTGTTGATCTTCCATGTTTCGATCACGTCGGGGTCACCAATGTGGGAGGTCTTCACTGCTGTCGATAGTTGCGGGAAGAATAACACTCGGAGTCCAGATTTGTAATGATTTATTTTCAAATTTCTTAACTATTTATACAACTTATGTGCTACGTGCTTACTGGCTAAAATATGTACACCAATTAAAAACTAAGTTTTTCGACCAATCCGGAAGAGATACTAATTAATAGCTAATTACAATGAGAGTGAGTGAGAGGTGATTTTCTCTGTCACACATTCTTGCGCGTTCCGCACAGAGAAGGCGATATGCTGCTTATGACCTCCAATAATAGGCCTCATTTTAATACTTCATGTAATATTTAGTTTAAAACATTAACAGACTAAAAAATTATAATTTCAGGTTTCTAACTTTATAAATGACGATAGTGTCACACTATCCACAAAAAAAAACACAAACACAAAATACTACGCCTTATTAGCTGTTTATTGGTTTATAGAAGTCTATGTTCGGATAGAATCTGGGGTCGTGTACTCTTTGCTCCCTACTGTCATTTTGACAGACGAGGAGAAGTCAAAGAGTTTGATTATATTTTGATGCAATTTCAACACCAGCAGTAATAATTCAAAATTGGTGTTATTCACATTTTAACAAACAAGCACATATTAACGCAGTTTAAAGTTTTTAAGTTTACTCCGAATGTAACTAGTAAAAATGGGGATATTTACAACGTCTTCTCCGTTCGATCAAGATGTCGGTGAGTACAATTGTCATCTAAGAGTTCTTTGTTTCTATATATATTGTTATAATTATTATAGGGAAAAGCAAAAAATATTCTACAAATGAATTTAGAGTATTCAAATTGAAAAATTGCTTCAAATCATCATTTTAAAACCTGATTTAATAACAACCAGGTTTTTAAATGTTTGATGTTGCTTTTTTTTCTTCCAACTTCTTAAAAAAAAAAAAAAAACAACAAACATTTCAATGTTTTTTTTTTGATAAATATGAAAAATAATACAGAATAGCATCCCCGTTGCTATATATATTGTGCACGAGTTCCGTACTGTCACTCCACAAATCAGGTTTTCATTAACAATATTTTACCTACCATATAAAGTGACTTCTATTTGTATAAATCTTATAAAAGCAATCCGGCACGATGGTTGCCAATTGTCTACCATGCAGATATACCTACATTAGTTCCAAACTTGACATGTACAAATGACAATGTAGGATTTAGGGTCATTCACTTCAATGTGACATTATGTGTTATCACACATATACCATACCTGCAACCAATTTGAATCTCATTTTACATAATGTTTTATTTCATCATTTAATTGTTTTTGTATGTTTTTGAGTTTAATGTTGTTTAATTAAATTTTCTCATTGAATAACATTTTATTCATTTACATTATAATAATGAAATGTATGTAATTGGTTCCATCAATATGGAAATGTGCCTATGTTATGCCTTTTCATAAGAAACATTCAAGAACTGATGTGACCAATTATAGAGCAGTCTCTAAATTGTGTATACTTGCTAAAGTATTTGCAAAGGTTATATACAATCAGCTATATGATATGGCTTCAAACACTCATTTAGTATCATCCAGCAGGGGTTGCTTCAAGATCGGTCGACCACCTCCAATCTTATTATGTTTAATGTTTTCTTAACTGAAGCGATGGACAAGAGAAAGGAATAGTTACCATAAATAACTATGTATCTAGGTGGATATCATTGCTTAGGAGAATAGCGCCGGCCTCTTTACTTGGGCCTCTGTTGGTTGTTCCTTATCTTTGGTAACAACATCGGTAATGTTTCCATTATTCACAGCTACTATGCTTTGCAGACAATTTGAACATATTTACTTGTCTTTATAATTCTGAGGATGCATTAAGAGGATGATTTAAACCAACTCAGCGATTACTGTATTTAAAAATAAATAAGACTTGAATCCCTCGCAGTATGGCTTGTAACATATGACTCAAAAATTAAGCTGATTGGGAAGTTATTTAAAACCACAAATTATTGTTTGATAACCAAATGAAGACCTTTATGTCTGGCATATAAAGCAATAGGATTCATAATATGTGTACTACATAGCTTCAAAGAAAGGGAAAACCTATAGTACATTATACTGTAGTTATGTATGTAGCATACTAGAGTATGCCAGTCAAGTGTGACACCCACAATATAACATTTGCATCTCTAGGATTGAAATAATACAAAACAGTTGATTAGACATTTGTGCTTCCGGCAAAATTATAATTTTCAATTACAAGAATATCTTAATTTCGTATTCTCGCTCTTGTTGTTCGACACGAAGTTAAATATAATAATCAACTGTCACGCTCTTCTCTCCAAAATATGATTTAATGTACCAAAGAAACGTGAGCTGGTTTCTTTGTTAATGTTCATTCTATAAATTCCATTTTACATTTTTAACTCCACAAGTAATTCTAAAAACAGGCTTTTTATCGAAACTTTTTTATTAAGAACAAACTATAATCTATCATAATTAAATAAAACAAGTTTTCCTTTTCGTTTTGGTAAGCTTGATGTTTTTTTTGCACTTTTTTGACTTTTTGTTTTTGATTGAACAAAAAAAAAAAAAACATTTGCGTAAAATGCCAGGTCTCTCTGACGACGACGGACTCGACGATCTGTTATTTGCTATTTGTTTATCAACTATAATATGTGTAAAATGGCTGTTGGTCTTCCATGAAATTAATAAATAAATTGTGACTATAAATTCTACAAGCAATAATATAACAAGATGCCCGCCAGTGTGACATGAAAGGCAACTCGCTGTTTGTGTGCCAACATTCAGTACGTTCAAATGTCTTATTGTGACTATGGTGAGGGGAGAGCTCCCCCCCCCACGCATCATAGGAACATAGCGTGTGACTTGTACAACTTCTCAGAGCGCGCCACCAGCGAGAACAACACGAGCGAGGAGTGGGGTTTGATAATGGAGATATGCGACCGCGCCGGAGCGTCATCGGCGAACGCGCGCGACTGTTTGCGCGCCGTGATGCGCCGGCTGGGGCACGCCGACCCGCACGTGCAGGTGCACGCCGCCACGCTGCTGGACGCCTGCGTCGCCAACTGCGGCCGCGCCTTCCTGCTGGAAGTGGCGTCGCGCGACTTCGAGCTCGAATTTCGCCGCCTGCTGGCGCGCGCCCAGCCGCCTGTGGCGCAGCGGCTGCGCGCGCTGCTGCGTAAGTGGGCCGAGGGCGAGTTCCGCGACGATCCGCAGCTCGACCTCATCCCCTCGCTGCACGCCAAGCTGGCCGCCGAGGCGGGAGAGCGGTCGGCCACGCCCGTCGCGCCGCCCGCCTCCGCCGCCGCAGCCGCAGCCGCCCAGCGCGAGCAGGACGAGCTGGCGCGCGCCATAGCGCTGTCGCTGCGGGAGGCGGGCGCGGCGGGCTCGGCGGGCGCGGCGGGCGGCGCGCTGTACCCGCGCGTCGAAGCGGCCGAGACCTCTCCGGCTCGGAAGGTGCGAGCCCTGTACGATTTTGAAGCGGCCGAAGACAACGAATTAACTTTTCTTGCCGGTGAAATTGGTCAGTATAATCTTCATAAAATATCTTAAAATTTTCGGAATAGACATATGTGACGTGATTCTGTGTGACCGCTGTTAAAATAATGATAATGCTAATTTACGTGTGCGTCTGCTCCTGTGCCGCGCGCAGTCCACGTCACCGACTGCAGCGACCCCAACTGGTGGAAGGGGCACAACGAGCGCGGCGAGGGCCTCTTCCCCGCCAACTTCGTCACCTCCGATCTCAGCGAGCCGCGTCCAGGTGAGCGTCCCTCTACCTCCACCTCCACCTCCACCTCCCTCTCCACCTCCCCGCCGCTGTCACGGCTTAACTAAACGATCGATTGCAGAGGAGGATCGGCGCGCGGGCGGCAAGAGCGTGCAGTTCGCGAGCGGCGAGGAGGAGGCGGCGGCGGGAGTGGGGGCGGGGGCGGGGGCGAGCGCGGGCGAGGAGGAGCCGAGCATCGACGA